TTACACCGAGTGTCTTGGGAGCCGAAAATTACAAACGAGCCGTTGAATCAGTTGTGTAGTGGTTAACCACTACACTACTAACCTAAGAAGTCTCTAATGAGCAGAACAAACTAACAACGTAAGTCAGCTGTAATGTCACAAGGAGACCAATCCGAAGAAATATTGCCTCCCAGTTTACAGGAGGAAAGTCGTATTCCGCCCAACTGCCACACCAAAAAGAGAAGGTTTAACTTTTCTGGTATTCCAGACCTCCAGTGATCGCAATATTAGTCCAATGATGTGAATAGATAAGTCCAGTGTTTGCAGCTAAAATTTTTGTTCACGTTGGGAATTAATGCCAACTAATGATATTCAACTGACAGTCACAGCAACAGTTACTCAGAAAAAATCGCTAAGTCTCGTTGAACTCAAGGAGCAGGGGTTTTTGGGGTGGTGCATTGAAACAAACTTTTGTACGGTAAAGTGACCCATATCGACAGGAAAAAAGATTATATTAAGCATGGAGAATAGCAGTTCACAAGCGCTACAGTTAGAGGATGTGACAATCAGGAGTCGGTGGACTTCTCCGTTACGGGATTTTCGTTCACTTTCCGGGGAAGACTGCGTAACCCTGATCAAGTGTATCTACTCAGTTTCCCCGTAGGACACACCGGTTGATGCAGGGCTATTTAGTCCATTGCCTGAGTCACCGGCACAATCCAACAGTGTCTAGTCGAGTTGGTTAAAAACCTTCCAGAACTATGCGGGCACATGGCCATAACCTTTGAAACCTTCTGCCTGAGGTCACCCGCACTACCCAATGAACACCGAACCTCGTCGGAATCGGCAACTCTGATTGAAGCCAGAAAAACTATGCCAGCAACGAATGACTGTGATTCCACGTGCAGATTCCTCAACCACGGGATAATTACGAGCTCGAGGCTTGACAAAGAGTGCTGACAGATCGCAAAGTTCGAGGAATGAAGAGAGAGAGCCTTCGTAACAGGGACCAATCACACCCTGTTCCTGTGAATCCGATCAACTGACCAAAAGGGATTGGTCTTAGTGAGAGAATCTCCTAAAGACCTCCGTTTATTCACAGGAAGGTCCTCTTGGATGATAGGCTGAACACTGAACGACAGTCCTGCTGGACCCCGTCAACGCACCAAGTTAACTCTAGTAGAGTGTCTCTGCCAATCCGCCATCAGTAACGGATGCCCATCGTGCCATTCCATTACTTCAATGCTACAACATCCCTGGTGCAGGTGATTTCATCCTGCATTCTTCAAAGAACGAAGCACGAACAAAGTACGAACTTTCAACATAAACGTTTGCATCGCGTAAGCTGGCGGCGGCCAACTACAAATCAACCGTGGACCCAGTTGGACCACGTGGCCATCAGTCACCGGTGGAGAGCCACAATTCAAGACCGCCGTTATTTCTGATTCCGATCACGCCATGGTGCGCGCACGCCTGACAGTTCGCTTCCCTTCAGGCCCTCGCAAGTCGGCATGAAGCATGCCAATCCACTATCTTCGAAGAACTGCCATAGCTCAACAGTATCGATCTGAGCTAGCCCAACAACTCTCCACAATAAAACAGTACTGTGATGGCAGTGAACATGTGGATGAAGCGTGGCCAAATGTGAAAGGAGCTATACTAGCGGCGTTCAGTGCTGCCTGCCCGACTTCTCAAATTCGACCACGGACCACTGGATGTCGTCGAGGTCGTTATCCATGATTGATGCCA